ATTAAGTACAAAACTCACGCACATTAATCACCCGCACAACCGCACGGGAGACACTTACCCGCACTGGAACTTAATTTTACACACACACACACATCTAATCTAAACTATAATAAAGCTATATGGTTGGGAAGTAATTAATGTTACAATTAATGTTACTTCCCAAACCATATAGTTAAGATTAATGTTACAATTAATTACCAACATTATTATTATTACTAGCTATAAATATAAAATAGCCACAACATCCTTTACTATTAAAAAAAAAAAAAACACAACATTTGAAAAATAAAATAGCTATTTTTTTCTCACCCATAACAAAGGATTACATTTATTGAACTAATAGAGTTATTAAATGTTATGATATTAGGATTAAGGATTCCGATTCCCGATTAATAGAAATATGAAACGATGCAATATCAATTAAATCTCTGGCTTTACAATGAAAGTTTATTTGATATGCTTTTGTTATATATGGTTCTTCTTGGGATTACAATATTAATTAAATTTTCGATGAAAGCCTATTCGATATCTAAAACAGTGCAATTAATGCAAGCCTCTACATATAATTTTTCTCCCTCTCAAATGCTTCAAAGAAATGGCAGAAGCGAGAAGGGATGAAGAAAGCAAATGTTGCGGGTCGTGGGTCAATTATTGGACTTCAGAATAAAAAAGAAAATCATTTGAGCCATAAATAAAATTTTAAATATATATATAAATGTCTATATCGTATGGGTCTTTAATGTTTTTCTGGATTTCTAAACTTAGGACTTTTAAAAGAAAAAAAATACATTTGAATTATCTCCACAAAAAGTGGACTTGGACTTATAGAATGACATTTGGGTTTATGGAATGACATGTGCATAAAGAATATATTATATAATCATATAAAAAAATGTGTTCAATTAGAGTTTAAATTTACTCATACAAAATTTGAAATTTACTTTCTAAATGTAATTATCTTAGTTATTATTCGTATTGTGAAAATTATAATACAGATGAAATACAATTAAGAATAAATCAATGTAATTATGTAAATTCTCTCTATAAGTTTATTTGAATATGTACATAATTAGAAATTATATTAACCATACCAAATTTTAATTTTAATTTTAATTGTAATTTTGTATTCTATAAAAATAATAAATACTTGACCTATGGAAACTCAAAAATATTATTATATTAAACAATTTAAAATATTTTTATTTTTTCTATTTTTTTTATTAATATTTATAATAACATAATTTTTTCCCCGTACATCGCGCGGGTGATAATAATTAAATAACAAAAATTTTATATATGAATAAACCTTATATAGGGTATATTTTTATAACATATTTTTTGTGCATCGCACCGGACAAATACTAGTTAATAATAATATCATAATCATTATTATTATTATTAATGATAGATACCACCTGATAGTATAAATTCCACGTAAGGCGGTCAAGATACTAAAGAAGATCAAATCAAAGCAAATAAAGACTTTTATTAATCAGCAAAGGACCTAATACAATCTACATGACTATTCCGAGGGCCGACTGACTGCGGTCGGGCAGCTCTGTAAATAGCCTATCGATCGTCTCAAAAGTCTCTCACACTGTAGCCGGCGCGGGTATTTATAGCCGCTAGGCCGGAGACACAATTCCGGCCGGCCGGCATGTAACCCACGTGTCTTCTCCCAGCGAGCCCTGCTTGGCAACATGTGACGTTGCAACGTGCTTCTTCTCGGATCTCTCGTTCAAGGGCCATTAATCGGGTGTCGAAGATATCGGTCGGGAGATATACCAGTCGGGCCCGACCGGCTTCCTTCAGGAATATCGGACCTTTAAACCTGCATAAACAACAAGAAAACACGTGGCATATCGATCGGGGTATTCCCTACCACCACCTAATCGGACACTCAGCCAAGCACGACGTAGGCAGTCGGGTAGAGATACCTAAGACATTTAGCAGTTAAGAGAAAGAGACCCCTATTTGTCTGACGATCACGGAGCACTCAGGCAGTTCACTAGTTGGCTCGGTTGGGCGACCAGGCTATACAATCGGCGCGTCCCCGACCGAGTGCGCAATTCAGATGCGGTTAAAGGCAGATTCAGCGGAGATTCTTTCCTTGTGCGCTAAGTAACTTACTTTTCTCACATTAAGAAGATACTCCAACATTTTTAGGAGCTTGCCTAAGTTCATTTTAGTTAATTTCTCTTTTCTTGCCTTCATTCAATGCCATATTCTTAGTATAAATACCCCCGGGGTCACACTGTAGGGGATTCGACTTTCAATGTACTTAACGTTTCACTGCTCCAATTTTTCTCTCATATATTCTCTCTTTCATTTAGCATTTTACAGCAGTGTTGGATTGTCGCTGGCTATCCCTAAGCAATAAAACCAATAGTGGCGCCATTTGTGGGGAACGATACGAAAGGTTATGTCTCTAAACTTTGATAATGACATGAACTAGACGCAGTAAGAGTTCAGGGAACGCTGGCCATGTCGCTGCCGCGCCCCGCGACTAATGGGCACATCGCTGTCATTGTGAGTGCAGGAGATCGACCGACTGGGAGTCGTGCCTCTGTGGGAGACCTTCGAAAACAACTTAGTCGCAATAATTATGGTGAAAGGTCGGCAACACGTACCGAGGGTACTATCGCGCCGACCGAACTGGAATTCTGTTTGCATATAACTTTGACAAAATACTTTGAGTTAACAATTATTATTATTATTATTATTATTATTATTATTGTTGTTGTTGTTGTTGTTGTTGTTGTTGTTGTTGTTATTCTATATCTCACTCTCTCACTCACACACACTTACAAAAGTTATTTCCATGTTTTTGGGAATAACATTTGCATTACAATACCAAAAATACTATTTACGCACATGCTTTTATATATATATATATATATATATATATATATATATATATATATATTTGAAGGGATCAGGTGCATTTGTGGCTTCCCGTGCGGTTGTGCGGTTGATTAATGTGTGTGACTCTTGTGCTTAATGTGCCTGAGATTTGTACTTAATGTGCATGAGTGTGTAATGTTAATGTGCGTGAGTTTTGTACTTAATGTGCCTGAGATTTGTACTTAATGTGCGTGAGTGTGTAATGTTAATATGCGTGAGTTTTGTACTTAATGTGCCTGAGTATTGTGCTTAATATGCGAGAGGTTTGTGCTTAATATGCGTGACTTTTAACACAATCGCACGGGAAGCTATAAACAAAATACATTCAGACCACAAACTCACACACTTTAAACACAAAAGTCAAACGAAGACGAAGACGTATATGATGAAGAACAGAGAGGGGAAGAAAGGATTAAGGGAATAGGAAGAGAAGACGAAGACGTATATGATGAAGAACATAGAGAGGGGAAGAGAGGATTAAGGGAATAGGAAGAGAAGACGAAGACGTATATGAAGAAGAACAGCGAGAGATGAAGAGAGGATTAAGGGAAAAGAGAGGAAGCGAAGACGAAGACGAAGACGTATATGTACAGGAGCAACAGGAGCACATTAACATTACACACTCACGCACATTAAGTACAAATCTAAGGCACATTAAACACAAGACTCAGCACATTAAGTACAAAACCCACGCACATTAACATTACACACTCATGCACATTAAGTACAAAGTTCAGGCACATTAAAAACAAGACTCACGCACATTAAGTACAAAGCTCACGCACATTAATCAACCGCACAACCGCACTGGAACCTTTCACTATATATATATTCCTGTGAGAACATGTTTTCCCGTGCGGTCAGTGCGGCATACACCATTAGGTATGCACAAATGCACCACACGGTGTTCGAAAATACACCATTATGTGTGGTGTATTTTTTTTTTTTTTTGTGGTGCATTTTTTGGCATTTCATTCTGGTGTATTCTCGGACACTGTATGGTGCATTTATGCATACCTAATGATGTATGTCGCACTGACTGCACGGGAAGACCTATTCTCGCTGGAATCAATATATATATATATATATATATATATATATATTATACTATTTTGTATAAGAGTATTTATGTCTTTTAAAAACTTATTTTATTTCTATTCATTTAACTAATCAAATACTGAAATATAATTTCTATAGTCTATTTTTTCAGTGAACCAAACAATATAATACAATTCATTTTCTATTACTTACCTATTTCATTCCTTATAGAATAATATTTCTTATTCCTTCAAAATTCATTCTGTGAACCAAACATATTGTAAGTTTTTTCAAGGAACCTAGATTCCAATTTGTGAAACAGTCTACGATTCAAAATTTTTAACATAGTTGAAAAAGTTATTTATATGTCAGATTGTGAGAAATGTCTTATCATTTTATTGAACTTTCTTGTAAAAATGTTTTGCATTATGATTTAATGAATTAGTTATTTTCTTTTTTAAAAAATAAAAATAATTGAATTGGACTAGAACCCACCCAAACTAAAAGTTCTACTCCGTATTAAAAACGTTTCGGTGAAGTGACATGTAGCATTATCCTAAATATTAAAATAAGATTACCTTTTCTGACATTATTGCCTCTTCTGTCTTCACACAATATATATTGCCATGAATATCTTTGTATAGATATTTTAAGAATTAATACTATTTGGGTATTTGAGTATAGTATTTGAATATAGTGATTTTGTTACATTAAGTACTAATTTTTTAAATTTATTATTATGATCTTTCAACTTTTAAATTATTATTATTATGATCTAAGTTACGAAAGATATCTTAATTATCAAATTTTAATCACAAATAATCTTTCTAGAAGATTATGACAGGTTAAATTTTAAAAGTTAAAGGATCATAAATGATAAATTTGAACCACAGATGACAACAATTTAAAAATTGAAAATCACGAGTGATTAATTTAAAAATTTAAGATTAAACATGAAAAATCATTATTTTATGAGAAATAAAATAAAATAAGAACTAACGTCACCCGTATGTAATTGACGTGTCAATATAATTAATCTATATCTCATCTTTATTGCTGCTCTCTTTGGAACATCTCACAAGCAAACAGTTCCGTTAGCATTCTTCTTTCTTCTCCTTGTCCGGCGTCTTTCTCTGCATTCTGCTTCACAGATCACCATGAAAGTTCCTTCATCTGAAACCCAAGGTTCGTTTCTTTTTTTTTAGGTATTTTACTGAATGGTTGTTTACGAATTAATAGAGCTTCTTAATGATCTAATTTTGTATTGTCAAATTTGTGATAACCTTATTTTAGCTTATTGGATTTGGATGTTTCTTCATTCGAAATCGATTGTATTATGGGCGGTTAAGATGTTTTTTTTAATCAATCTGCAAAATCTCGATCGAGAGAGAGAGAGAGAGAGAGAGAGTGTGTGTGTGTGTGTGTGTGTCTGTGTGTCTGTGTGTGTAGAAGCAGAAGAACCAACTTTTGAAAAATGGAACGAGTTTGGTGGCATACTTAAATCACTTGGAGATTCTGTATTTTGAAACTTATTCTCCACACACAACAATGACTCCTTTGTGCTTATGATTTTCCATCGTTTTTGTACATAAATGGTTTCCTATATATATAATATTTCATCTTTGGTTATAAAAGTGCAAAAAAGCTCATATCTTTGTTTGTTTCTTCCTAATTTTTTTCTTTTTCAATTGACTTCTTACATCAAATGTGGTACAGAGCAAAAGCACAAGGATGCAAAAAGCTCGTATTTTGATTTACCTGCTTTGGATGTTTCTGTTGCATTTCCCCAAGCAACTCCAGCTTCAAAGTTTCCTCCGTGCAGTAAGTTTCATGCTTGACTCTTTTATACCAAAATTGATTCTCCTGATATGTCTGTAAGATCAAGTGCATGCATATTTCATCCTCTTATTGATTTAAGTGTTTCCGCTGCTACAACCATTTGACCTTCTGTTCCTTAATTTCTCTCATGATTTGAATGAAAACATTATTCGATTGACTTTGCTTTATGTAGCGTCCATCTGTTGGTGACGTTAGAATCTCTTGTGCTAAGATGTTCTTGATATGTTCTACAGCATCTGACTATTATCAGTTTGATGATCTACTCACTCCCGCTGAGCAAAGTGTCAGAATGAGAGTGAGAGAATGCATGGAAAGAGATGTAGCACCTTTAATGGCAAAGGTTGTTCTTCATAATTATTAGAAGTGTGATTTATTTCCAAGGACATTTGAACTTGTAGGCATATTCCTAATAACAAGTAATTCGATACTAAGCTTGACCCTGTTGATTTGTGTTCCAGTATTGGGAAAAGGCTGAGTTTCCATTTGAAGTGATTCCAAAACTTGGTGCTTTAGGAGTTGCTGGTGGCACCATCAAGGTGATTCTACTTAAATTTCTAATATTACCTTTCTACACTTTGAGGTGGATTGTTGTGGGGTCTTACTAATTCTGGCTTCAGGGGTATGGCTGTCCTGGACTCTCTGTGACTGCAAGTGCCATTGCTACGGCAGAAGTTTCTAGAGTTGATGCCAGCTGCTCAACTTTCATTCTGGTTCATTCTTCATTAGCTATGCTAACCATTGGTGAGTGGAGTTAGATCTGATAATGCTACGATACCATAAGCAGAATGACAAGGAAGTTCTAATGATTGCTTGGACTATCAATAATAGGACTTTGTGGGTCAGAGATACAAAAGCAAAAGTATTTACCATCATTGGCCAAGCTTGACACTATTGGTTGTTGGGTGAGCAAATCCTATTCTTTGCTGTCTAGGTTCATGCAGAAATACTTGAATCTGATTTTCACTACATTTTTGGTTTTTTTTTTTTTTTTTTTATATTTGTTTTGTTTTGAATTATCCAAAGTACTTCTGCTTTTTAGGGTCTTACAGAACCGGAGTATGGGAGTGATGCAAGTTCATTGAAAACAATTGCAACAAAGGTATATTTATGAGCTTTACAATTTTATTTCCCCAACCACTTGAAATAATATATATTATTGATTGCATTTCCACTTCATTGTAAGTGAAATGTAGTGCTGAAGTTTATTCTATTAAAACTTTGTGTTATGTTTTCAAATGACAAGGTTGAAGGAGGTTGGATCATTGAAGGCCAAAAACGGTGGATTGGAAACAGTACTTTTGCAGATATACTTGTCATTTTTGCTAGAAATGCCAGTACAAACCAGATAAATGGGTATGGAGAAAGTACATTGTGTTCGATTCACTTATTAGTTATTAGAGTGTTCATATTGAATCAATTGTAAGGGAAACTTTTCATGTTCTAATTCATCATGAATGAATTGGTTTTTTACTCTCCTGTATTTCTGTTCTTCGAATTCTTGCATTATTAGCTTCAAGTTTAAGAAATTTGCTAATTCATTCTCTTTATAGATATTTATATGAAGTTGTTTGCAAGTGCCTTCAAGGTTTTAGTTTCCGAATTATGTGCAACTGGTTATAAGCACTATACACTTCAAATTGCTCATAGGTCTATCCTCCTAAATATATCTTTGTGACGTGTACCTCTATTGCAGATTCATAGTAAAGAAGAACGTACCAGGATTGCAAGCTACAAAAATGGAAAATAAAATTGGCCTGAGGATAGTTCAGAATGGAGATATTCTCCTTAACAAAGTTTTTGTACCAGATGAGGACAGGTTACCTGGCGTTAATTCTTTCCAGGATACGAGTAAGGTGTGACCATTTGACTCTCTCTCAGTCAAACTAAACTCCCTCCATGCAAAACCACCCTTTGCTGCATTGCCGGCCTTTTGGTATTCTCCGGTGTAGTGTCTAAAAATTAAAAGCAAACTATTTTCCTTGAGACTTGATTTTCCCCTCTAGCTTATTGGTTACATTTCATCAACTTGCTAACCGGTTGTGGACTTACATCTACTGATCACTTATTGAATTGGCTTTTAATTGGAAACAGGTTCTTGCTGTTTCACGTGTTATGGTGGCCTGGCAACCTATTGGCATTTCGATGGGTGTTTATGATGTTTGCCACAGGTATGTACCAACTGGTTTGCTTGCATTCCCCGCTTAGAATATAAAATTGATATTTGTGATTATTGTGAAACCGAAAGGTACTTGAAAGAGAGGAAGCAGTTTGGCGCTCCTCTGGCAGCTTTCCAGATCAACCAACAGAAACTGGTCCAGATGCTGTCAAACATTCAAGCAATGCTTCTTGTTGGGTGGCGGCTTTGCAAGCTGTACGAGAGTGGTAAAATGACTCCTGGCCATGCGAGCATGGGGAAAGTAAGAAAGAAGTTATCCCTCTAATTTACAGTGGTGTTATAACTTGGTGTATCTATCGTTGTAGTCTTCTGATCAATACGTGTATATATGTTGTTGATTTCAGTCCTGGATTACACTGAAGGCAAGGGAGACTGTTTCACTTGGCCGGGAATTACTAGGAGGCAATGGCATCTTGACTGACTTTCTAGTAGCAAAGGTTTGTAAGATGAAACCAAACCAAACCAAACCTACTTCTCGATATCCATGTGTTTTTTCATTCACCTTTGGGTTCTTTCTTTGTTTCTTGTATACGAGTACTTGAGAAATATAATTTTTGTTGGGCGGGAGGCTGGTGAAGGGCTAAGTTCAGCATCCTGCTTTTGCTCTCGAAAATGTGATGGCAGTCTAAATAAAAAAAAAAAAAAAAAAAAAAGTTGCGTCTTCACTACTAGTTATAGCTTTTGGGTAAACGTTTGATCCTAACAATTTTACTACTTTGTTAGGCGTTTTGCGACTTGGAGCCAATCTACACGTACGAAGGAACCTACGACATCAACACCCTAGTAACAGGCAGAGAAATCACTGGTATTGCAAGCTTTAAGCCTCCTGCTGCTGCTTTGAGTAAAAGGAGTCGCCTATAATCAACTCTTCTTCATTAATAATCCTAGTGTGTGGTTGACTGGTTGGTAGTCCCATTGTGAACTCTGTTGAATAGGGAAGGTAAAACATTTACATTTGCACAAGCTGAAACAATAAAGTGCAAAATTACAATTTTTTATTTTATTTTTTGGAGTTGATGATAATCAAATCTGAGATGTATGCATAATGCATGCCAAAGGATACGGATCATTGAGAAGGGGGGTTGCTTTGAAGGATGTGATCCTTCTGCACACGTCTCTAAAAATTTGTGGGGGTTGCTTTGAAGGATGTGATCCTCCAGCACACGTCTCTATAAATTTGCCTCATTTACAACCAAAAAAAACAAACAAAAAACAAAAACGTGTAGGAGACCTTCTCGAGATGAATGGTAATACTTATATTAGAAAATTTAACACTAAATCATAAATAAAGTGTGTATTATTTATATAAAAAGAATTGTAATGCTTTTATTCATAAATAAAGTGTGTATTATTTATATAAAAAGAATTGTAATGCTTTTATATTTTGATTTAAGGGTGTTGGTTTTAGGGTTTTTGGGCTCAGGGAGATCCAACACAACCGTGGTTGGTGGATTCACTTTTCAAACAAAGTAGCTAAAAATATGAGCTCGATGATTTTTTATGTGGAAATCGGAAGGTGAAAACCACGGGTCATTTTTAAGCCTAAATTTATTATGTATTTTGTAGGTGTCTTTGTACATATTGTAGAACTATTTTGTACATGTAGTAATGTAAGAATAAAGCTATATCTTCTTTCTAACCTTGAATGGATTCTTCTTCATGTGTGATGAATGGAGTCTTCTTTGGGAAAATAGTGAGAAGAGTGCTTCCATGTGAGGATGAGTGATATGTCTTCTTAGAAGAGAAAGAATAGTGAGTAGTGCTTTTTATCATGATGATGATGATGAAGATGTCCCCTTGCTCTTGCTCCTTCTCTCATTTTATAGCTAAAGAAGTTTAGAGACGTTGGGGGTATTTAGTAGGAATTATGGGTAGGTAATTTATGGGTATTAAGTTGGGTAATTTAATGGGATAATTAATTATGTTGGGGATTAGGATGAGGTAGTTAGGATATTTACTTTGGGGGTTATGGATATTAAATTGGGTACTGATGAGATTGTAATGAGGACAGCTACCACTTGGCCTTGTGAGTGAGTAGGGTAATAATTGGGGGCAATTTATATCCTACACCACGGTGCGCGTTGCATTGTGTGTCTAGATGCAAAACGATATCGTTTCAGATTTTTTTTATTTTTATTTTTAAATTTCGCTATCCAGTGTTTGGCAGTTAATTTTTCTTAAAAAAAATATCATGTTCAAAAATGTATATAATGTTATACATTAATGTACATAACTGTATACATGAATGTACATAATTGTATAACAAAATATACATACTATTTTTTAAAAGATAATACACATAATCTAACATAATACATAAACACAAACTTTTAACATAATACACATCAACTCTTAACATAATACACAAAAATTTCCTGATTCGGATGTACATAATTGTATAAAAAATGTACATAATTGTATAAAAAATGTACATAATAAAAAATATACATAATTGTATGAACAAATATACATAATCACAGCAACTTCCTACCGCGCATCCCAAAACGACGTCGTTTTGGGAGGCGCGCGGCGCACATTGCTACGCGCGCCGTGGTGTAGGGTATAACGATTGAATAATTGGGTGGTAATTGGTAATTTAATAGGTATCTTAAATGCTAACGACTACTTTAGGCCGACCTCCTACTCGTGCCGACCTCACGCTTGTGCCGACTTCTGAGTCGAGCTGACTCCTCGTGTTCAATCGTTATGCTATGGACCTGTGTCCAGCACGGTGCCGTTAGTGGCACCATTCTCTTCCACTTTTTTTTTTTTTTAAAAAAAATTTCAGATCACTTTGTTATAGGAGTATATGTTCATAATTTTATCACTATATGTTCATAATTGTAAGTTCATAATGTCAGAGTTCTGTGTTCATAATTGCATAACTGTACATTCATAATTGCATAACTGTACATTCATAATTGCATAACTGTACATTCATAATTCCGTAACTGTACATTCATAATTCAATAACTGTAAAATCATAATTTTCGAAACTCTATGTTCACAATTTTAGAGCTTTATGTTCATAATTTTATCACTATATGTTCATATTGTAAGTTCATAATGTCAGAGCTCTGTGTTCATAATTTTATAACTTACATTCATAATTCCATAATTGTACATTCATAATTGCATAACTGTACATTCATAATTCCGTAACTGTACAATCATAATTCAATAACTGTAAATTCATAATTTTCGAAGCTCCATGTTCACAATTTTAGAGCTCTATGTTCATAATTTTATCACTATATGTTCATAAGTGTAAGTTCATAATGTCAGAGCTCTGTGTTCATAATTTTATAACTTACATTCATAATTCCATAACTGTACATTCATAATTCCATAACTGTACATTCATAATCCCATAACTGTACATTGATAATGGCACAAACGAATAACGCCGTTAACGACGAGACAAAATCAAAAAAAATTTTAAACTGGAATGACGCGTTTTCCCTTAAAACGACGTCGTTTTGGACTCGTGTCCACAATGCATTGTGGACACAGGTCCAGGGCATAATTTGCGCCTCGTGTTGGCCTGATTCTATCTTTGGGCCTCTTCTTCCCTGGGTTTTGACCCTTTCCCCTTCTTGGGCCCTAAGCCCGTTGGGTCCACACCCCATCAAAGGGTTTCTTGTTGTCAAGCACTTTGTGCTCAGATGGCCTCAGTAGAGGCGGTGTCAGATATTACAATGTAATAGAGTCAGTAGCTTTAAAAAAAAAAAAGGTTTCTTGTTTGGAAAATGATTTTTGGAAGTTCTTTTTTTGTATTTTTCAGTATTTGGATAATCAAAGAAAATTAAGTCAAAGGAAAATATTCATTCTAATCAATGGAAAAAAGGTCCAATTTGACAGAAAATGTCTTTCTAATTTTTTAGTAGGAAGATATCTTTTATATTCTTTATTTTTCTGTTGATGTTGTGTTGTATTGTGGTGGTAATAATATAATAATATGGAAATTATCGAAAAAAAAAATATGAGAAGTAAGAGATATGTAAAATTATCGAAAAATGTCTTCAGACTAAAAAACTAGGAGGACATCCACTTTCTACCAAATTGGGTCTTCTCTTTTTCTTTTTTTTTTTTTTTTCCTTCTCTGTTGATCAGACTTCATTTTCCTTGAGTACCCAAACACGAAAAAAATTAAAAAAAATCAGTTTCAAGTTTTTAAACGGACGCTAAAAGTATTACTCCGTACGTTTTTCCTCAAAGTGGACGTCACCATTTTGGTCTCTCAATTGTTCTCCACCCGTCAATGTAGTCCCTAATTTCAATTTCAACTAATTTTATCTTCAAATTGTTTAAAGGGAAAATTGCACTTTTGATCTCTCAATTGTTTTTCAATCTACAATGTAGTCCCTCACTATCAATTTCATTCAATTGGGTCCTTCAAATTTTTAAATCGTAGTTAATTTGGTCCTCCGGTCACATTTCTCTCAAACCAGGGTTAATATCATGGACATTTTAATAATTTCACAACCCATTAAGATTTGTCTCCTCATCAATCATCTTTGCACCCCCCCCTTCTGCAGCTGCGACGCCCTCTCCATCCTGCTTCTGTTTATCCTCTTATCGACAACCAGCAACGATGGTAGATGGCGATGGTTCCATCTCGTCAACGGCAGCAGGTCAGCGAAGTAGCAGCAGCGAGCATCCCTTGTTTCCTGGCGAGCAGAGTAGGCGATGGTTACCAGCTTTCCCGGCAACATAGCTTCTCCTCGGTTGAAGAAGCAGCGGCGGCGACTGTCCTCTCTCTTGGTCGACGATGATGGCGGTCAGCGGCGGCACCCTTTGTTTCCGGCGAAGGCAGAGTAGCGGTGTCATGGCGTGGCAGTTTCCTTGGCGGCAAGTTATCTCCCCACCCCCGCTATCGCCGCCACATCTCTTCATCCCCGCAACTTTTTTCCCACGGCTCCCCTTCGCATCTTCAGTTTTTTTAAAGGCTATTCACGGTGTTTCCATGGTGCAGACGATAACCAGCTTGAGGTCGATGATGGCAGCTTCTGGGCGAGAGAGTACAACCATACAATGAAAAATGAATGCAAGAGAATAGTTTATGCTGATATCTACAAACCTATAGATGATATGGTACAAAACCCTACAAAATATGGTAATTTATTTCAATTTAATAAGATTCTGCAGATGATCGGTCGGCGGTGACAGCTTTGGGCTAGGGGTGAAATAAATTTGGGGAGTAAAACGCGTAGGAGGAGAATGAGGGTAACTAAGCCTATTGTGAAATTACTAAAATGTCAATGATATTAACCCTGGTTTGAGAAAACTTTGACCGGAGGACTAAATTGACTATGATTTAAAGATTTGAAGGACCCAATTGAATGAAATTCACAGTGAGGGACCCATTGCAGATCGGGGAACAATTGAGGGACTAAAAATGCGATTTTTCCTTGTGTAAAATTTTGTCATTTAAACCCTTCGAGAATCAAATTGACGAAATTTTAAAAATGAGGAAATAACTATTTTGATCCCTCGAAAGAGTTTAATTGACGAAATTTTAAACAATTCGAGAATGAAATTAGTCGAAATTGAAAATTAGGGACTACATTGATAATTGGGAAACAATTGAGAGGCCAAAATTGTGATTTTCCCTTTCTCAAAAGTAGTACATTTTCCCTTATAAGTAATAAACACTTGCCAACATTACTTATAATGAAAAATCTTAATACTTTTGATGAAAAATGTAATATTTTTACATCAAAATTTAAAAGTATTACATTTTTTATTCATAAATAACAAACACTTTATTCCTAATTAATATTACATTTCCATATTAACCCGACCCGACATGATCCGTCTCACGAATAATGATCAATGAGACGGTCTCACACAAATGTAACCCGTAAAAATATTATTTTATTGAGTGTTAGCACTAACACTTTGACAAAGTACCCCTACACTTTTAGGTATTAAGTGTTAGTAAAAAGACTTTTTACCTTTCACAACTCATAAGAGCATCCCCATTAATTGGTTTTTGTTTGTCTTT